GGAAGCGTTTGCCCGCGTACCCTCTGTCAATTGCAATGAGCAAGGAGTGAAAAATAAGTTTCCACATGTATTTCAGACAAACAAAAATGTATTTGGTGTTTAGAAAACAGCACTCTTGGCTAAAGCCATGTTAAGTTATCTCTCTGTACAACTGAGGGGAAAAGCCCCTGAGCCCTGGCTGGGAGGGCGTTGGCTACACCAGCCCCGCGCTGCGTGCCTCACGCCTCTGCGGCCCGTGGAGGAGCTGCCACAGGGCAGGGACACGGGAACAGCAGTGCCGCAGAGCTGGGCTGGTTTGTCCTGCTCTGCTTCAACTAGGCGGGCACCCACGCTGTCCCCAGGAAAGTTCACCAGTTCCCCAACAGCAGGCTCAGCCCATGGCTATTGAGCACACAGGCTGTCATTTGACAACACGCATTAAAACATCCATCTGATGTTGAAGGGTTGTTAAACCCAATAGTCCTTACAGCAAAGTGTGACCAAGGCTCCCGTACTGTGCAATCGTGGGCTGTTGTGTCTCTGTCTGACTACCTGTGGTAAGGGCTGCTTAGTTCTGGGGCGTAGCGTGCAGCAAACCAGCGTGACTCCAGCACAACACAAGCGAATAAATCAAGTGACAGGGAGCAGCACTGGCAAGCACATTGCAAAGACATCGAAACCATTCTTTGCGCAGCCATCGCGGGTCTGGCAAACCCAGTGCTGAGCTAGAGCTAATAAAACCTGGCGAGCCCAAGCTGTGCCTGCATCTGTGGTGCAATTAATCTGTGACACGAACAATCTGCCTGCAGATAACTGTAAGCTGACTATATGTACAAATTTAACAGCTCACGTTAATTAGTACTTACAGCTAGATTGAAAAAAAAAATCACTAATATTTGGCAACAAATAGCAAATAACATTACAGCTCACAAGCATAAAGTTCATGCATCAATAATTATGAGACAGATAGAAAAGTCATGATACTATACATGTGCATTTTGATTTTGTAATTTAATGTTGATGTCCCTATTATTATTTCCTGGTATTATAGACAATTAACATAAATTATGTTACCATAGCACACAGAAGTTCCACTCACAGGCGCTATTGCCTGGAGTGATACACAAATAGGAAACAAAAGGTAACACCACAAAGTGTTAACACAGACCTGTGAGGCAAAAGAGGATAGGGTATGAAGAGATGACAAGAATGGTCTACATGCCAAGAAGAGATCTTTGCATCCTAGCAGCTTAGCTACTGTCAGTTTTTATAGGCATCACAGTAAAACAGGCCGTTAGGGAGGGAAGGCTTTGCATGATGATAATGAGAGCGCTTTTTATTTAGAAATTTATTACAGTTTCTACACCATATTACCAGTGTTCCCCCTGCCTGTGTCAGTCCAAACCAAGAACAATTGTGTCAAGGCAACAACAATTTCTGCTTCTCCTGTTGCTCTGAAGTCGACAATCCACATGGGGTGGCTTCAGCAGTCTTTTTTCCTAAATCCTAATGTTACAGAGTATGAGTGACCTAAGTGGGTGGCACACTTGCTACCTATGACAAAAGACAAAGCATTACAGGCCACAACATATAGGCCATTTCTGGTCTCCCGTCTTCTGAGAAAAGTCAACTCTTCTGGGAAAAAAAGGCAGAAAGTTCAAACAATCACTTATAATCCTAAGCAGCTGTTCAAGCCCAGGTGTTAGACAAATGTGGAAGTATCCATGTGCCTGACATTCATAGCTGGTGCCTTTTTAAGACCATCTCTAGCCTTTGCTGTAATCTTGCAACTTGCAAAAAAAGTCATGAGCCCTGGCAGCAAGTCAGGTACACTAGCTGCCAAGGCCTGGAGCGCAGCCCCTTTGTAAGAGAGCCATTGGCTACTTCAGGGTTTAGCTGGCTGAGTCCAAGGTAAGCTCCTCTTCTGACAAGACCTGTTGTAAAGAAAGCTAGAAGCAAGGGACTCCCCCTCCTTTCCCTTGGGAGCTGTTTTTAAGCTGAGGCTGTGGCACTGGTCCTCAACTGTACTACATTGCAGCTGGGCAGCAGCTTGATCTACACTGTGTATCCAGCCTCTTTGATCCCGACCCTGATTTGGCTGGGCTTCCTGGCTTTGTCCCGGACCTGCCTCACCACTATGGACTTGCCATGTGATCCCCAGATGTATCTGACCCTGATTGCTGTCTCTGGCCTTGATCATGCACCAAACGTGCGGCTCCACATCCTGCTGCATGTTGGTGAGGTCTCTGCTCCCACCTGCCTTGGGGTCAGAATGCCCCACCTGTGGTTCACATCAGCCCTCGCTGCCCCCTGACATGGCCACAGCAAACCCATTACTGCACTGCCATTCTTAAAAATGTAATCACACAGGGCCGTTGACATGCAGAACAACTGTGCTGACTGTCCACAAAAGAAGAGGCATAAGCCACATGAGGTAGCAGAGGCACACAGATTCATCTCTCGCAGCTCATCCAACTATCACAGCTGTGCAGCTGCTCCACACACCTTTGTTTCACGTTAAATTATTTCCTACACTTTAAGGTTGCATAAAGATTTGTAAAGCCAGCACACACACCCAGCAATCAGGACAGCTCTGACGCGGGGAAAGCCTTTGCAGTTTGCAGAACCAGGATGAAATTTCATTCCTCACATGGGGCTCATTAGGACTGCTGTGGCACTTCAGCTGCTAGACTGACTCTCGAGGCTGCAGAGAGCCAAGCATAGAGCTGGTCAACATGCATATGCTGTGATTATTAGGAGACTGCAAAGCCTACACGTGAACTAAAATCCTGTTGAGTTAGGGTCAATCTATGTTGTGTATAAACAGAATACAGATGCACAAGCGTCTAAATATAAGACAGTAGATGACAGACACACACAGATGGAGGAGAACCAATTTGGGTAGTATGATAGGCAGTGTTCTTAGTCACACCAGGAAACTTACAATTATCAAATTTCATCACAAGAGATAATAGTTGAAGAAGAAAGATGATACACTTCTGTGGATATTTAGGAGATCTGGGACAAAAGTAAAGGAAACAATGAAAGCAAATAAGAGGACAATGAAAGAAAATAAGATGCTTTTCTGAAAATTCAGCAAGTGGCTATAATACATTGATGTATTCAGCTGATGACAGACTGGACCCACCTACTTGCTACAAAAGATAAATGATGTGGCAAAAGGATAGGCTGTGAAATCTTGCAGTTAATAAAAGACACTTGCCAAGACCAAAGAAAATAATGTTCTGAGAGTTCAGATGAAAGGTGAAAACACAGAGAAGTGGTGTGGATGGATAGGGAGGACCATATAATAGAGATCTGATGCAGAGAGAATCCTAAAGACTTGGAGATGGACTTTAATAGGTGATTTATGTGATAATTTTAGCTGAACCCGTGTCTGCTTTGAAAAAAGGGATCATCTTACCAGTTTTATACTGGCTAGATGCCCAATTAACAGTTTGTCTTTCATTTCCAGGTTAAAAAAACTTATTATTTGACTATTCCAAAATCACACAGTCTAGCAAGATTAAGCATCGAACAAGTGATTAGCATCATCTGATGTGATGTAATGAAAAAACCAGCAGATACTTGTGAAAGAACCAAATTGCCTAATTCAGGCATACATTCACTGGGACATGAAAATAGCAGTGAAGAATGTAGGAAGGGATGGACATCTGAGGCATGTATGCTTTAAGAGTGACTGTGGTGCCATGTCCACCTTTGCTGCTTATACAAGTATTGAATTGGTTTTTTTGCATTGTTTGTCGCTGCAGTCATCCATTGCTGATCCCTCTTCAATTTACTCCTTTCTGTCCTCAGGCCTACCATTCACTCACGCAAACTACCCAAACGGCACTTCCACGCCTCACCCAATCAGTCTCCTCTGTCCCAAGATCTCCCAACAGAGAAAAGTCTTTCCTGCCTAACTTATTTTCCCAAAAACATCTTCTTGGCCTTGCCTGCTTCCTTAATTCAGAGATTCCCCCTCATTTGCCCCAACCACTTCTAGCACCTAATTGTTTCCCACTGCCACCATGCCAGCGTGGTTCCTAACTCACCATGGATCCTCAGTTTCCTCTTACTCTCTTTCCGTGGGTGGTGACTTCTCCAAATTTTCCAAAGATAATTTCTGAAATCTTGACATGTCTTCTACATAGTACTATAGGAAACAACACAGTGACTCACTGTCTTATTGCACTGCAAAATTTTACGTCTGTCTTTAAGAACATGTAGAGTGTCTCCTCAGGTATTCAAAATATAAGAGCTAGTGTGATTGACTGTCTTAAGAAACAATAGTTGTTTTGATTGCATTTAGAAATGTAATAAGATGCCAGAGTACATTGTCCTAGAATGTACATTTGTGTGTTTTAGTTATGTTCACAATGATAGAGACAGCAACCAAAATGCAAAGAGAGCACAAATAATTTGATAGATTGTTTTACAAGTGTTTTATGGTAACTCTAATGGAAGTGTGTACTGTTTAATGAGCTGCTTTCTTTTTCTGTTTTGTTCCTTTGATCTTTATAGCTGTCTCTGAAATAATTTTTTCGAGTACAGAAAGCTATATGCAACAGTGCTAAGATCCTGATGACAATACACCAAGAACAAGAATGGAAGTAAATTTATTCAGCAATTCTACTGTTGTAAACAGTTCATCCATCAACCATAAGCAGTTAGAAGGGCATAGCCTCTGGGAAGTCATTACTATTGCCACTGTAACTGCAATTGTAAGCTTAATAACCATAGTGGGAAATATTCTTGTAATGATATCCTTCAAGGTTAACAGTCAGCTCAAAACTGTCAACAATTATTACTTGCTCAGCCTTGCCTGTGCAGATCTCATCATTGGAATATTTTCTATGAACCTTTATACGTCCTATATACTCATAGGCCATTGGTCTCTTGGAAGCCTTGCCTGTGACCTGTGGCTAGCACTGGACTATGTAGCTAGCAACGCCTCAGTAATGAACCTCCTAGTCATCAGTTTTGACAGATATTTTTCCATCACAAGACCTTTAACTTACAGGGCCAAACGCACGCCCAAAAGGGCTGGCATCATGATTGGTATGGCTTGGCTGATTTCCTTCGTGTTGTGGGCACCTGTAATCTTGTGCTGGCAGTATTTTGTGGGTGAACGAACAGTACCACCTGAAGAGTGCCAGATACAGTTTTTGTATGAGCCCATTATCACCTTTGGTACTGCAATTGCAGCTTTTTACATCCCAGTCTCCGTGATGACCATTCTGTATTGCCGCATCTATAAAGAGACGGAGAAACGTACCAAGGACCTTGCTGAACTGCAGGGCTCGGAGTCTGTGGCAGAGTTTGAGATGATAAAGCCTCGGAAAGCTCTCCTCAAGTCTTGCTTCAGTTGCAAGCAGCAAAACTTAGTCAAAAGAGAGAGGTGTCAGGCTTCCTGGTCTTCATCTAGTCGAAGTACGTCAGCGACAGTGAAAGCCTCTCAGACAGCGAGTACTTGTAACGACTGGGCCAAGGCTGACCAGTTAACCACCTGCAGCAGCTACGCATCTTCAGAAGAAGAGGATAAACTTGCCACTGATTCCGTTTTCCAAGTAACTTACAAAAGTCCATCTAAAGGTAAGGCAGAAGAGTTTAATGATAGTGTGGATGTTGTTGTCAAAGACCAACCTGAAGCAAATGATTTTGAGAACCAGAAATACTTTTTGTCACCCGCCAAAGGTCAAGTACAAAAGAGTAAAAAATGTGTGGCCTATAAATTCCGGTTGGTGGTTAAGGCTGATGGCACCCAGGAAGCCAACAATGGTTGCCGTAAAGTAAAAATAACTCCTTGCTCTGCTGCTCTGTCAAAGGATCCTTCCATCAAAAGCATGGATCCAAATATAAATAACCAAATCACCAAAAGGAAACGGATGGTTCTTATAAAGGAACGCAAAGCAGCACAGACTTTAAGTGCCATTCTTTTGGCTTTTATCATCACATGGACTCCCTACAATATTATGGTTTTGATCTCCACATTCTGCTCTGACTGCATTCCCCTGACACTGTGGCACCTTGGATATTGGCTATGCTATGTGAACAGCACTGTTAACCCCATGTGTTATGCCCTCTGTAACAAAACTTTCAGGAAAACTTTTAAGATGCTGCTTTTCTGCCAGTGGAAAAAGAAAAAAGTGGAAGAGAAACTCTACTGGCAGGGCAATACCAGACTGCCATAATTGCTCTTATAAAAGGGGTAAGGTGGAAAATAGATGCTGACATAACCTAGTAAATTGACTGTAATTCTGTGTTTTCAAAGCTGTTGCTTTATATATCTAGGGGTTAAAAAAATTCTGCAGAAAAGTAAAATTTTGCATGAAAGTAGTTTGCTTGGGATAAAGAAGTCAGTGGCTGCTGTGAGCAGCACAAGGTGTTTGTAGTTATGCAGTGTGTCTGTGTTAAAGTTATTATGCTTGGGGTCTTCTGTCCTTTCTTTCAGCCTGAGAAAGTGTAGAGGAAATTATAAACTACTAGAAATTAGAGTGGGATGGTCATCCAGTCATCAGGTCAGGTCATCCAGTCTGTATCCCTGTAGTGCAGAACTGTTTCTTCCTGTAGTTCCTTTCTTCCTTTCTAATGTATTGTGTATTTAGGTTTAAATGTACCAAGCAATAGAGCTTGTACTATTTCTGAGACTTTTCCCCCTGCCATTGGAATGAAACAAGGACTATATAAAGGAGGAAATGCTGTCACACCCGATACTATATGTTTAGGGAGATTCATAATACTCCAGATGAACACATATATTATAGGAGAATGTAATACTGGGAATATTTCCACTTTAGGGATTACTTTTGTGGAAACATAGGCAGGGCTCTTAGTAGAGGAAATAGATAATGTATTTTGTGTATGAAGAGGCCAATCCCAATCTCAGTTTGATCATGCAAGTCACTGTCATCTGTAAAAAATGGTGCTAGTTGGCAGATACCTCTGAATTTCTCCATTTCCAATCCCTCTGAAGGAAATTTTAAAATTCAGTTCAATAGTGACAATGGTGGACATAGTCTATCTGCTTTTCAATATAAGGAAAGTCTTTTTTGCAATCATCTCCTCTGTTGTGCTTCCCCTTGCCCCAAAAGTTTCCATTAATGATGGAATGATACGGAACAAGAGAAAAATATGCATTAATGCCCTGTGCATTTACCTATATGTTATGAAATTATTTAAAGCAGTGACAGAATTGGCATCTCTGAAAGAAGTAAGATTTTTTAAGTACTTTTTGAATATTTCTCTAAAACTATTAAAGACACTTTGCACTTTCATAGCACTTTTTATCTTTAAATGGCTTTAGAAATGTGAATCAACATTAGGTGTTTGTAAAAATAGTTTATCTCCAGCCATTATCTTGTGGTT